GTGTGCAAGCAGTAAAAACTGGTACAAATTAATCTAAAAAAAAAAAAATCCATTAGTTTTACCCTCATCCTAGCTCTAAAATCATACAGAACTTGGAATATAAGAATCATAGCTACTTTATCTATTTAAAATATGCCAAAACAACTAAATATACTTCAAAATAAAGATATTTAATTAAAATACTCACCTCTGTCTCAATATACATGTTAAGAAGATCTTTCCCTAATTGCCAGACCAAGTTGGCTTCAACAGGTAGCTCAACATTCACCACCTTTATTTTGGGTTTTTTAGCTTCTGGCGGCTGATCAACTTTCTTTTCATTTGCCTTAGAAAAGGTTAAAAAAAAAAAATTCTTAAACACTCTGTGGAAAATAAAAAATCTCTCAAACTTACTAATGACAATATAATCCCTAAAATCATCAAGTTGGAATCATCTATAAGATCACCTCATTCCCACTGACCATTTTTAAGCAGGGCTGCAATTAAATTTAAATATGCCATAGCTTCCTTCATGATTTCACCAGGATATTTTATCCTTCCTGTGTTATGCTTCTCTCCATAGGTCTTTACTTTCTAATCCCTCTAAGCATGTTTGTAAATCCTAAATCAAAAACTTGAAATTATGAAAGTATTCACATCTTTATAGTCTAGAATCTGACAATAATCAAAGAAACTCTGACCAACATTAAAGATGTTAGGATTGACTCAACACCTAAAATATGTATCTTAGTCCCTATGTTATATCTGCTTTAAGTACAATTAGCACTACACTGAGTGCCTTTTAAAAATTCCTCCAAGAAGATTTGAGTCATATCATTTCTTATAACCAACTCTGCAAGGTAAAAATAAATAAGAGACAGTTGAGCATGGTGGTGCATGCCTATAATCCAAACTCCCCTCCCTCAAGAGAGGCTGAACCAGGAAGGGGCTTGAGTTCCAGGCCAGCCTGGCCAAGACACTGTCTTCAAAAAAGACAAAAGAAACCAAAGAGCCTTAAAGTAGCAAATGGGATGATGCAGCATTAAGGTAGGGTATCCTTAATCCGAAATGTTTCAACACATGTAACCTTGAGTACTAACATGATGCCTGACACAAATGGAAAATTCCACAGTTGACTTCAAGTGCTAGGTCACAGTCAAAATACACATTAAAAATATTATACAGAATTACTTTAGGGCTATGTGTACAAGGTATTTAGACTCAGGTCCCATCCTCAAGACATTTCATTTATGTATATGCAGATAATCCAAAATTAATAAAAAAAAAATCTAAAATTCAGAACATTTCCAGTTGCAAGGGATACTCAATGTGTTGTTTATTGTAGATTTTTCAAAGTATGTAAGTACAGGGCTAAAGAAGTATAGCTTTTAATTTCCTAAATCTTTTCTGTGTACTTGTTTCTTCAGGTTCCCAGTACAAATGACAAACAATGGAGAAGCCTGACATGTATGTCAAATTAGATGCCAGGGTATAACAGAACATGTATCTCCATTGACTAGGATATCAAATGGAAAAGACTAGACCATAAAAAGTACAATAATCACTGCCACTGAGTAATATGAAGGATTTAAAACTTCTAAGCACTTTATCAAAGAAATTAACACATCCAATGGCTTGACTAAAATTACAGATTAGAACACACACTTCCCAGACTTGTGTTCCTTAGGAAATCACATATCTATTAAGTGCTATAAAGTTATCAGTAGAGGTGATCTAGTCAGCCAGCCTGCAGTTGTGTGTGTCCTTCTTTCTAGTGCATACGAGAGCGCTGTAAAAGAGTATGCATGCTCCGAAGGCATAATCCACAAAAAAGAAAAATGAATCAGATGATACTTATACCTAGCCAGACACAGGACTGCAACAGATACTTGAGTAACAAAAAGGATGACAGTACACATACATCAGTTAAATCAAGAGAAGGCAGAACAAAATTAAACCAACCACCAACAAAATATATCACAAAATGGTATTCCAACATGGAACAGATGAGGAACCCTCCAAAGGAGTGTGTGGTAAGTTAAAGGGCTGAAACTAGTGATCCCACCTACAGCTACGAACATGAGATGTTACCTAATGTCATGTTCTAGACAAGTACTGAGATTATTGGCACAACTCAGTTGATGCCTAACTCTAAATCAAGGGGATAATGTTGAATTTAAGTACCTATTTTTCCAAACAACTAACATCAACACATTAATTCCTACTAACAGATAAAAAAGAAAGCAGACTTCAGAAATCAGAGTCAGAACCTACAGCTCATATTAATTAGTACACATGCAAATCAAAAAGCAGCTCGTGAAGTACAACAATCACTGTCACTGAGTAATTTGAGTTATAAAGGATATAAAAATTCTAGGTACTTTATTGAAAAAATTAAGACTAGATAGTTTAATGGCTTGACTAAAATTACAGACTAGAACACATGTCCCAGACTTGTGTTTTCTATGTTCCTTAGGAATCACTTATCAATTAAGTGCTATAAACTTTATCAGTTTACCTAGTCCCAAATCCATCAGGACTCCATCAACAATTCTGTAATTAATAATTCTTAATAATCTGAGGGTAAAGGCTACTATTTTCAGAATTTGAGAGAAAACCAAACTACTAATAACAGGTTAATAATTTACTTATAGAGATGAACATTACAAAATATAGGGTGATCTGGAGGAACAATGGGAACTTCTCAGTATCTGTCTGGCCATAAGCTTTATAGGTTTGATTAGAATCTGTTATTTCTCAAGGAATACCACACCACCATTTTATTTAGCTTCCTATACCTACTGTGGAAGCAAGGTAAAGGAATAATTACTTTGAAATGCAATCTGGTTAGTACCAGACCATCATAATTAATTTATTTAAATTTGACAAATGACTTGAAAGGACAAACAAGTTTACTAAACTCCTATAGACCATGTATTTATCACCTGATTAGTTCAAGTGAAAATTAACCACTACTTCTGACATTAGTAGACAGCTCTGCCCCTTGGAAGACAACAAATGATTTGCATTAGTCTCACTACTTGGAGTGGCAGTTAATCAAGAGAAGCTTTCAGGTCGAAAGAAATATATTCAATTTCCTTGGTTGAGCTTGACTACCTCTACCTGGTTTTAGTTGAGTAATAGAGAAAATCAATTAACAACAATAAAAAAATCCTACATAGAATAAAATCTCTTGGAGGTTGCTCTTGAAACTGCAGATTTAATATCATTAATGATTACATGTTGCAACATTGTCTAATGGAATTACTAGAAGAGTCACTCACTTTGTCAGCATCTGGGATTTTGTTTTCTTCTGAGGTAAGTTCAGGTGAAGGGGGAGACTGTGAGGTTTGTTGACCATCAGTTTGTACCTGGGGCTGTGTTCCAGCTTCACTGTTGTCTTGCTGGATATTTTTCTGAAATGAAAGCCCAGGCACAAAGGATGTAGAAAGCAGGTGTACTTTTATAAATTTAAAAAGTTATAGGGCACCAAAGACAGTACACTCAATTTCTGAAATTTTAATAGAGGGGCAGAAAAGGTACTGGATAAAAACAAAATGAACACAAAATACTTGAAATTCCTTAGACACTTTAAACCTGTAAGAAATTCTATGAATGACAGCAGTTAATATAGTTAAGTAACACAAGTAAGCCTGTGGTTGATGGGTGACAATGAAGAGCTCCCTTTCGGAAATTTTCCTGGAACCTTGTGCAGACATTAATTCTCCAAAGCACAGAAAACAGCACTACTCCAGCTTGTTCCCAGAAACATGCTTCCAAACCCTAGTTTCACGAGCAGCCACCACATACTTCAACATTATCTCCGTTTCAACTTACTAAACAGTTACATAAAACAACCAACTATCAGTTATTCTGGGGCTTATCATTCATTCCAGCTTATGAGACCCTCTCCCATTTTCATTTTGTGATTCAGCTATTTGTACCTCAAAGAATCTCAGGATAAAGAATACTGCTACAAGCTAACAATCCTAATGAAAAATCTGATAGAAAAGAAGGAAAATGAACCCTAAAGTTTCCTGGATCTTTTTTTGCTAGCCCTCACTCCCCAATAAATCAGTGCTTGCTCTGATCTTTTGCCATCTGTAGGAGAAGGCAGAAACATTCTAACTGCCCAAACCTCTTCTATTTTTCTTTCAAAGCTTCAAGAATGTAAGGCAGACACTGACATACTAAAAAGCAAAGCATTACTGATACTCAAAAAGTACTAAGAGTCTGCGAAGTATATTCATTGCTGTGAAGTGTTTCTGGATGAGAACAAAACTAAAGTTTGGAATACTAATGGTCCTTCAGTGTTGTACACAGTGCCCACTGGATACCACACTATCTCAAATCCTCACACTGTACTGCCTACCTCATCACTTAAGCTATTTCTAATTACATCTCAGAAATAAACTGTAGCTGTAACACACTGAGCTTCTTGAAACTCTTCTGCTGACCATGTAGAACTAGCATTCATGGTAATGGAAGTCTTACACAACATGAGCACTAACAACTCTTTCTATTCCCCACATGGACAGTTCTCTTCCTGTTCCCTCCAATTCAGACAAGCATGTTAATAAAAACAAGTCAGTTCTAGAACACCAGTCAATTCAGCCACGGAATTAAAAAGTCAATCAGCTTTAATACTTCACTAAATGGTTTTTACAATTGTCTTCTTAGCCACCAATCAATATTTGACTTAACATGTAGACTTAAAAAAAAAAGCAAAGGTAAGGAAACTTTACCTCCTCTAATTAAATCACCAGGTAATTAAAATTTAGTTACATAGAATGTAATCACATTAAAATTCCTGTGTTCCTGTATACTATCATTAATTGGTAAGAACTGTTATCATTATATAAAATTCTAAATCAAATTTACTTATGAAGAAAAATATTTTAACTATTCCCTATCCTTTCCCTATGGCATAGGGAATTCATAGTCAATTCTACATTCAAATACAAAGATTTATCCACTAACTTACATCAGTGTCTGGATTTTCTGGTGGCTTCTGATTTGGACACTCCATGTCTGCCTCAACAGAAGACACTTCATTCTCCTCAGTTGGCACTTTCTCCACCATAGATGCCGTAGAGATGGTGAAAATGCCATGGGTATTGACTCGTACTTTGACTTTTACTCTAGATTTTTCTCCATCTTTCTGTGCAGAAACATTCTGAACTACAAAACGGCCTAGAACATTAACAAATTGACAATTTTAGAGATGAATTTAAATCTCTGTAAAGAAGACAGGTAAGAAAAACACAAATGCTAAGAAATAAAGGTTAGAAGTACTAATATCCCAAATTTTTCTCCCTATTCCTGACCAACTTAAAGTCTGTTAGTATTATAAATGTAATGTGTTAAAATAAATATGCAGTGTATTTACAATTAATTAAGATTAGTCTTAGTAATGTCATAATAACCTTCAAAAGAGTATTGTTTTTTAACTATTTAATACACACTACGCAGACACCAAGTATAAGATCTGACAAAAAGCAGTCTCTGTCTTTTACCCTGTTTCTCCAGATGGATGAGCATTCACTAAATATGAAAATCTGTTAGCAAGTCTAAGGCTGATGGTATCAAACACATGCTAAATTTTAATTCTACAGTGTCTTCCAAAGAATACTATTATTCTGAATGAAATCAAATCACTTTAAGCCATGTTCTGAACAGGAAAGGTGAGTTAAAAATTGCATCAAAGCCTGAAACGATTATGTGCAACAAAGTGGTTCCACAGCACTACTGAGTAATGGTTAAAACTGCAGATTTGAATACTGGCTGTGTGACCTGTTATAAGTTATTTAACCTACCTATGCTTCTGAAAACTGACTTAAGTGTTTATAGTGAGCATTTACTGAACCAAATGCTAACAGTTGATGGGAGTTAGTTATCTCCACCATTAGTATTGTTATTCCATAGACACTAAACCAAAAGTATTTTGAACCTATTATGTGCAAAGCACTGAGATTTAACAGCCTTGTATTTAAGGTACTGTCTACACAAACACACAAAAAGTTATCAGGTTACTCAAAGACAACCGTGATTATCTATCTGTCAGGTCACTATTAGGAGATAACTGTCCAGTGACTCATTTAAGGAAACAGCACTTACTCTTGAGTATACAAGACTCTCTGGAGAATGGAATTAAGACAGTTCTATAAGTATGCACAAGATTTTCAGTTTTGGTGAAAACATGAAAAATTAGATGCATGGTAACAGCTTGAATTTTATTTCCCACAGAATGAACAACTACTACATAGAATCCAACCTATCAAAACCTTACAGTCTATATTCAATAATGTCTCCAACTATTTTTTAAACACATTCAGTAAGTGTTTAAAAAAATAAAACGAAACAGAAATGGTGGGTCACAACATTTTAGTCTTTAACTAGTTAAGAAAGAAAACTAGATAAATTGGACTTCCTCAAATAGTTTCTTTATAAAAAGGGGGTGGGGCAAGGATGAATTCCCAAAAGACCTGGTAATATTGGCAAATCTTCCAGTCTGGGAAGAGATGCAGTTACTGTAATTAAAAGTGAATGAAAACTCCCTAAGAAAAACGTACCTAAAAAGGTTATAATACAAGGTACATTTGAGAAATAGTTTCCCACTAGTCTGAGCCAGGTTTTTAACTAGAAGTAACATCCTACAATACCATTTCACCTAGAAGAAAGGTTAACATTCAAAGTATCCAATGACTTTATAAATATAGACTACACCAGAATAGGCAAATAATTAAGTGATTCTAAATTTATTAGCTGGAAGTAATTAACAGCAGAACTAACAAGTCATTTTATTTCTACAGGCCAGTGTACTCACCAATGAAATGAAGAAATTTCTTTATTACCTTTGTTCTAAATAGAAAGTGCCTTTACCTGGAATTATGTTGCACTCAACATTGCCAAAAAAAAACTGTAAGTTTCTATACTGAATAACATGCTAAGTTTTAACTCAAAGAACAAAATATACACAATCACATACCTATTTTTGCTTCTGGATAAGGAACTCCTTGAGGATCAGAATAGAAAGCTTCTAGTTCAAACGGCCCCCTTCTCAAGAAGGTGAGAACTTTGGAGAAAGGAGCAGCATGGTTTCGACTAAACACTTCATGAACACTGTAGAGGAAAGGAAAAGTTTTTAAGCTTATCATGCTACACCAACAGAAAAAATATTCTAAAATCTTTATCAATTCTATCTCAACATTTACAATACCAAAATAAAAGAAATATTTTCAAAGTTTTGACTGTTGAAAATCCCAGGTACAGTAAGCACTTTACCATAAAAATCATTTGTTTATTTTAAAATATTAAATATCTGAAGGTTATTCTATTACATACCCTTCAGTGTCTTCTGAATCATGGTTCCAGACCAGAGATATTGGAAAAGGAACTGCATCTGTGACAGAAAATTCTCTAACTTTAAATGCTGGAGAAAGAATTGCACACTTTGAAAAAAAAAAAAAAAAAAGAAAGAAAGATTAAAGGGATTATCATGAGCACATATTAGTGTCCATTCATCTTTTAATATAAAACTCAATTCTAATGGGATGGGCAGATTTAAAGTGAAATTTAAAACTCCTTACATCATATGTCAATTCAAGCACAAAGAATTTATTGATTGCCTAAACACTATGCCAATCACTAGCTATAAAAACCAATAATACAAGTAATCTCAAAACAGTGATTATCAATCAATACAAATTTCATAGGCTTAGGAAAAAGCACTGTTTTTTTCCCTAGAAATGCCTTGCTGATAGCAATTTCAATCACACATCCACAAACACCTCTGTCCACATCATTTTTCAAATATCAAAGAAACCGAAAAGGGTAAAATGCAAAATGTTGGTATTTTCAAGTAATTTTATGAATGAAAAAGTGGAAAGTTCAAAATTGGAACAGACAATAGGCAAGTGGAAGGTTCATATTTGAACACAGCATATAAAAATCACTAAACAAATGACTAAATTAGATAGACCCAACAAGAATGGAAAATGTCAAGTCATCTAATTAGTGGTATCCTTCAAAAGAGAGGTTGAAATTAGCTCTACTTTTGCAGAAACACTAATGCCCAACATTTTTGGGAATCAAGAATTCATTAAGGAGGCATATTCCTTTTTGAAGGAGAAAGAAACGAAACTCCACAAAAAGGACCATTAAGAGAATAGGGGACTGGACGGAAGGGAATTCCAGGTGAGGGGAATGGGTGGGATAAATAGCATCAAAGTACCTTATATACATGTATAAAAATCTCATAATGGAACTACTGTACCATTAATATACACAAAGAAAAAACCCACAAAGCCTGACCAAGTCTGACAGTACACTAGATTATCAGTAATATGCAGTACCTACATATTCTTCTTTTCATAACTATTAAAGGATAGTCATTCTAAAGACTCTTGCTTATAGAATCTCATTTATATGTAAACTGCAAACTACATCACAGTTCAAACATGTCAAACTTGAAAAAAACCATTTAGATCTTATTTGACCATAATATCCTAAATATAAACTGCTTTCTTATTAGTAACTTCTAGATTTGGTGCTTTTGCTTCAGCAAACTAAATTTATGGTTGTTGATTACCTTCTTATTTGAGAAGCAGATTAAAAATCAACTTGGAAATAGGGGAAGTTATCTATTTTCTAAACCATTTAACTAATACTCTTAACCCTGCATATTTTCCCAAAATCAATTCCTTATTACATCAGGAATCATTCTAATTCTTGCCTTCATTTTTTACAATAGTTGTCACTACCAGCTAATTAGTCATTTGTAGCTGTGTCTTCTGTGCTCTCCTCAGCATCATGCCTGTTTCTAATCCCCAGTTTGAGAAACATTGCTTGGCAGTCCTTTTAATCTTAAACTTACTGGATCTTCCAGATTTGCACATCCTTGTCTCCCCCGAAATCTTATGAATATATTTAAAGGTAACCTCCTTTGCAATCTAATTAGGTCAGGACAGGTGGAAAGTACATCAAGAGGAAGCACAGCTGGTTAAGTACCTGTAGTGCACATCCTCTGGCTACTGCTTCATCTGCATTGAGTGTTGTACTAACATCTTTTCCAAAGAACTTGGCAATTTTTTCTTTCACAGCTGGAATTCGTGTGGCACCTCCAACTATCTCAATAGCACTCACATCATCTACCTTGAGCTGAATTTGTTCCATCAATAAATAAAGGGGTACTTCTATTTTTTGCAGGAGTTCAGCACAGAGTTCTTCAAATTGTGACCTTAGCAAATGAGAGGGACACTTCATAAATCATTAGAAAAATTAGTTTATTTCCAAAACCATCTTTTCATTTTAAAAAACAAGTAAGTCTTACCAACCCAGTGAATTTTGGTTTTCCCCTTCAGACACCTTAGCTCATACATGGGCCAATCTTAGTTTGTAATTTTTTTTTAATAAACATATAAAACAGATGCAAAAAAGGGCTGGAGGAGAAAGTTTTGTGGGTATTACTAAAAGAAATCATTTTCATTTTAAGACTGCCATTTACCTCCTAAAATGTTTATGTGATCTGATTCTCATTACTTTAAATATTCATTTTCATTCACTTCAAAATATCTCTCTGTGAAACTATTATTCAATTACAGTTCCAGAAATACTGAAAAGGCTCCACCATGAAGGTACTTAGTGAAGAAAATTTTAAAAACCTTCTTACAGAAGTGCCCCTAAGTTCTAACAGTGACAAACAATGGTCTCTCCAGCTGTAAACCATGTAGCAAACAATCCTGAAATGTAAGTCAAGACTCACAACACTGGGCTACAACTGACATGTGACTATTTTCAATGAGAAGTTTCATTTACTTAAACTGCAGAACTCAAGACGCACCTGTTCATCTTTCCCGAAACATCCTTGTCATTCATAAAACATTCTATATTCAATGGCAGGTCTGTGCTATTAGAGCTCATTAGTTTTTTCAATTTTTCACACTCCTGATACAGACGAAGAAGAGCTCGAATTTTGGACTTTGCATCCAATTTGTACTTAGTTTTAAACTCTGCACAGAAGTGTTCAACTAGCTTTTCATCGAAGTTTTTTCCTCCCAGAAATGGATCAAAAGCTGTTCCCAAAACCTAAATTAGTCAAAACAACAGAGAATCAGGTCATTTTCAATCATATTTGTAACAGAATACTCAAGATTGCCACTCAAACAATGGAAGATTAATAGACTCATGAGTGCTTCTTAAAATATAGTAACATGAGGTCCAGGTAAGGAGAATAGAATGCTAAAGCCCTAACATATTTTTGTCCTTTAAAACTACACAGAAGATAATATTAAAATGATTTTCCTTTCCTAAGCAAAAAAACCAAAGAAAACCAAAACTAAAGAGCATGCAAGACAATTACGCCATCTTTACATAGATAAACCTTAGCAAAAATTCCTAAGAACATCTTTACCTAAAGCTCTTCATTTACAAGAAGAAGCAGTCTAAATCTCATTAGCTTAAAGTCACAACAAACACTGAAAGGCGGGGGAAGGGGGGAGAAATGACCCAAGCATTGTATGCACATATGAATAAAAGAAAAAAAAAACTGAATAGGTTTTCGAAACATAGTTCCAATGTACAACTTTACCTTCAATTTTCCCTTGTTAAAAGCACAGGCAGATACTTGAAAAGCAGAGTGTCCCATATCAACAAAGACCACTATCCGAGGTTTCTCATCTGGGTTTGGGAGATCCTGCTTATAAATTCCATAATTCAAAGCAACTACAACAAAATAAGTAGTTTCAATTCTTTGGTTCAAATTTTCTTAGGAATTTCATTGTTACATACAATTACACATGCAGGAAAATAGACTATACTACAAACAATTAAAAATGTGTGTTCACCTTTTAATTCTAATTCTCTTTTTTGAATTCAGAACAATGCTCTATCACTTTTCAAGATATGAAGACACGCAATGGACAAAATACACATGGTATGGATAAAATGAAACAAAGTGTCACAAACAATATCAGACTCATTATACAATACTTACTTTTAGCAACAACCTGCTAGCAGAGTGCTTATCCAAAAAAAATTAACAATTTAACACACAACTATAACAACTGCAGTTCCTTTTTTAAATTGTTTTGAAGAACTTGTTTTCTGAACTTTGCAATCATTTTCTAAGCATGTATACCTACCAGGTTTTAAAAACCTATCAGAAATATGAATTATTCCTAACTTTTAATTATCTGTAATTCTAAAAAACTGATACAAGTTCTAGGAGGGACTAATGACTGCTTTGCTCACTGCTATACCCACAGGATTTAGCACATTGCCTGGAAAGTAATACAGGCTTAAGTCAGTATTTGATAAATAACTCCTAACTACAGTTCAGAAAACATACATGGAAAAAATTTTTTAGCTAAATCAAATACTTGTAGCCAAAGTAGTCATGATATCCAAAACTGGAAGATTTTGGGAAATCTTGTATTAATCATAACAGCAATGTAAGGAAACAAAGTTAAATACAACTTACCTACAAAGAATTTACATATATATTTGCATTTATATATACTTATGTATTATATATATATGTATGTCTATATATAATTTCCAATGAAAACAGATTCACAAATTTGTGTCTGAAGAGGTGGAACTTTTACTTTCCAATCCAACACTTTTTAAAAGGCTTATGTTTCTACCCCTACGTGAAGCATTTAGTAACAGCACCAGTGTCTTAACTGTAGTTTTATGGCAGTTACTTCTCTATCAATACTTTTTCTTACCAGCTGTCATGTCATTCATAAGCCTTAAACAATTTAAGCCAACAATCTGTGCAGCATCTAATACAGATCGCCTCTCAGCATCTGTGAAGAAGGAAGGAACCTACAAACAAGAAAAAGGGAGAATTTTTATTCTTCTAGAGTGCAAAAACACAAACTCCCCACAAATCACTTTAATAAATTCACAACAGTGCTACTAATTAGGGCCTAGTTAGTTCCCCAAGCAGAAACAGAACTTTAGACTTAGTTCTGCCAAGTTTCTTTAACTTTCAGAAACAGTTACTTTTGAGATTGCCTCAGGATTACAGTATCAAAGTAATCTTTATTATATCCAAACTTTAACCTGAAGTGAGAATTCACCAGGAGTACTCATGCAACATATTGAAAATTACTTGTATCTAACAGAAAACTTAATTAACTAGATGAAATACAGCTTCTAAAACAGTCCTACATTTCTATCGACATCTGGAATAATTCTCAGTCAGTAGTTAAGATTAAATACCAATAAACTATAGGTAATGCCCACTGGAACTTAAAGGTAACAGAATTAATCATATCATATGCCATGACTTCTGCTTTTGCTATCTGCTGAGTTCAAGGACTAAGAAGTTACTTTTTAATTAAGCAGGCCAGTTAAGATTAGAAACATGCTTTGTGGAGCCGATGATTTTCTTAGGAGGTAGAAGAGCAAAATAGCTCAAGGGTTGAAGTTTCTGACAGCAGTGACTTACGCTTGTTGCTGTAATTCTTAAGACTGCCTTGAAACATTTTAACTAAGATGCTTATTAAAAGAAAAAATATCTAACAACACATTCATAGAACTACTTAACTTGAAAATACCTAAGAGAAAACAGTAGTGACTTTGAAATTTTTAAAAAATACTGTAGATGGTTCAGAAAGACAGGGCAAGAGCAAAAGTGGGTCTCTGGTCATCTTTCATGTCATAACACCTCTTTTATCAGTTTTCCATAATAGCTTATTTACATAGGGAGGGAGAGAAGGAAGAGGAAGAAAGGGGGAAATATTCCAACAACTAATGACTTTTCTTCAGTATCAAAAGTCAGTATTACTTCTCCAAACAACACAAACAATCCTTTTTGTCTTACAAAGGCTATCAGGGAAATTTCAGCCCTTTTTCCTTTAGTCTTTCATGTCCTGAATATACTTCCATAAAGGCTTCTGCCTGGTATGGCATGCAGAGACCATGCTGAAATTGAGTTCATTAGACGATTCTAGTACAGATGAAGAAGTGACCCCAGTCATTTGGAAAAGCAGAATTTATAGCTATCTTTCTGGCATCAAAACAAAAAGATGGTATGTCTACTTCAAATCTTTTTTGACACTCTACCTAGTTCACAGAAAAGACAGGATTTACAGTACCAAAAAAAAAAAAATCTAGATTTTGTCACTACTGGTAGGCTATACTTAAATACTTCTACAACACTAATTCTCAACTAAAGGTGGCGTTTTCACCTGTGCAAAGCTCTTATGTGTTTGATATTATAACAATTAAATGCATTACAATAACATGCAACCAATAATTTGTATTTTTAAAAAGCCCCACAGGAGATTATTACCTCTAGTCAAGAACCTTACCAGCTCTGGTTCACAGTAGCTCTCAAACCTACTTTGATATGCTCTAGAAAGTTAATATCAACACAGTCTAGTAAAACTTTGATCTACAGTAATAAAACAGTTCACATGTGTAATATTTATAAAGAAAGCAAATTAAAGTAGAACCTGCTGTCTTGCTGAATTCTACTTACTGAAATGACACAATCTGTCACTGGCTTCTTAAGATTATTTTCAGCAGTTTCTTTCAACTTAGTCAACAACATGGCTGTTATCTGTTCCACACTAAATTGATGTTCTTCATCCATGTACATTACCTACAGCAAGGAGGAAAATGTTTTAAACACTGTAATATTTTAAGATAATTGTTAATATAAATTTCCAACTATTATCACATACTCTCCTTTACAAAATTTTGTTTCAGAAGAAAGGGAGGAAGAAGGAAAGGACAAAAAGATGCAAGAAAGACTTTTTTCCTATAAATGAAAGGGGGGGGGAGCCAGAGCAGAGTTCTCCCTAGTCAACGTCCTAATGCTAGTCAAATAGTATACAAATTTTCAGTAAATTTTCACTGAAGAGATGAATCACTGGAATAAATACTACTATGCATTGTTCACAAGACAATAATGCCTCTGGTAGTTAAAAAAAAAAAGATTTCAGGTTGTATTACACCATTGCTCTCCAAACAACTCCAAATGGGCTTAGAACACACATTTGTTTGATCCATAAACACCACTGAGATTTCTGTTTTAAAAAACATTATCAAATACAAGTCAATTTTACATTGCTAGCAAATTAGAAATGCAAATTAGTTATAGCTATATATAATGTTAGTAATTTTCAGAAACAATTGAGCTTATATTTACTCTACTTTTAAAAGGAGCTGGTGGGGTGCGGTGAGGTGGGGGAGGGAGACACAGATCCCACCTTATTCAATTAAGAGATTTGAGTCAGCCAGGTGCCAGGTGTAATCTCAGCCACACGGGAAGTGGAGTCAGGAGGATTGTGTTTTGAGGCCACCCTGGACAACAGAAGTTAGCAAGACCCTATCTCAAAAAATAAGCCACAGGTTTGGGATGTAGCTCAATGGTTAAGTGTTTGCCTAGCATGCACAAGGCCCTAGGTTTGATACCCAGTACCAAGAAAAATAACTAAAGCAAAAAGGACTGGGATGTAGCTCAAATGGTAGAGTTCTTTTCTAGCAGGTGCAAAGCCCTAAGTTCAAATCCCAGTACTGCCAAAAAGAAAAACGATTTGAAATAAATATTAAGATGTTAGTACTTTTCTCTATAGATGAATTATGAAACAGTCTTCTATTAGAACCAACGGTTGTTCAATTGTATTACCTTTATTCCAACTCCACTGTTTTTCATTGGAACCAAATCATAACTTAAGTTTTCCTTTTCCTTTTGAATGAAAGGGTCATTGAATGCTCGGCCATGAAATCTCTTAAAGTTAGACACCGTATTATTTGCATGAGTGATTTGCTGCAAGAAGAAGTTTGAGAGTTTAAATTTGTCTCTAATTCTACCACCTACCAGTGCCTACAGAAATTTTATAGGTCATTTGAACAATTAAAGCCAACTCTACTAATGCAGGAAACTCCCCCTTGGGGCCCTCAATTTCCCCCAATAATGGTTTGTATTTTCTTCTTCCCCTATGGAAGATGCCAGAAGGAAAACAGTAAGAGAGGCAATAGTCTCATCACAGACTTTAAAGCATATCTCAAAATCTACAAGATAAATTACAGATAGCAACATATTTTATTCCTTCCCTGCCCCCAAATACACTTGTGAAGTTTTATGTCCAATGATTGCACTTTTAGTCTAAAAAACTGCCAAGTAGCCAGAATCAACACTTTATGCCAGAAAAATATATGGACTGCTACTTTGCTTGGTAACAGCATTTCATACTAATTATCTGTATCAAAATGTAGAAGAGATGAGGGTAATTCAGAAAGGTTCTAAATGATTTGTTTTCAACTCTGTGTTCCTATTTTGATGACTTGGGAGCCAAAATGTCTTTGCTAAAGAACAGCATACTTAGACTTCTGTTCAGTTACTTTTAGCAACCTACTTATTGGAAATGGGTGGTTACATCCTCCAGGTACATGTTAGTTAGAATGCTTGATCTAAAATTCAGAAAAACTGGAAGAAAATATGCCAATCTGTTTTAAGATGGTTGTTTTTCAGTATTTTAGATAAGCTCCAGATCAAGAAATCCCATTTTCAAGTCTATTTCACTAAAAGGTAGAAGCCTCATCTAAAATAAATAGTTGAAAGATTAAAAGCCATGACTTCTAAAAGTTATTATATAGCCTGAAAATACCAAAGCAGGTTACTATTTATTTTTTTCTCTGACCTACTTCTCTTACAACATGGAATGTAGTACATTTATACCCCTAAATTCCTCATGATTTTAATACTGAAATGATGCCTACAAAGAACTGTGAGTTTCAACAGGTTCTCCTCACACAAGCACAAAGATGCAAGACAAATTTAGGCCTGGGCTATTAATATCCAAAACGACATTTAGGGGGATTGCTACTCTCCACTCAAGTACCTCTCTCTCCTTTTGAGCTAGTTATTTTGAGTGTGTAATTACTTTTCTTTTTTTTTAACCCCTCATCATGTATCTCTTCCAATCTACCTGTAATATTAAAATACACTTCAGGGTATAGGGTTGTATTTTTTAGCAGTATTATTTTCTAAATTTAGAAACATTTTTTTCATTTTCTTTCTTAAAGCATCTCAAAAAGCACTTGATTTTTATTTTATTCTCTTTTTCTCTCCCTATCCCCACGGATTTCACAGCAGTGCTATTCAACAAAATTATGTGAGCCATAAGTAGGAGCAAGATATGTAAAATTTCTGGTAGCCACATTAAAAACTAACAACAGGTAAGATTTAGAAAACTGAGGAGATACTTTACTTTTTTAGTTTTGGTCTTCAAAATCACTATGCCCTTTATTCTTACTTCCTATAATGATTCCAATCAGTTAGACTTCAAATGCTCAATAGCCACAAGAAGCAAACGCCTACCGTATTAAACAGCACAGATATGGACTAAAGTTGTCCCAGTCCCACCTTAATTACTACGTAACCTAAAAGCTTTTAAAACCTCTTAAAAGTTCCTTTTATAAAAGGAATTTTTAACTCTTAAATGAGTAGCATGAGATTGCACATGAAAAAATTTCAAGTGTCTGTTTATAATTTTAAAAAATTAGATAAATTAAAAAGCAGCAAAACTACTAAAAATGAGAGTTGGCACAATTGTTAAAGTAGATCTTATTTCAACAGAAGAGAGAAAAACAATCATCTGAGAAAATAATCATCTGAGGATTCATAAATACTTGAATTACGTTTTTAAAACTCAAAAATAGATAAAGCTTTGAGATGCTTCACACTCTGGTATGTTTCTGGATATTTTCTTTTTTAAACCAAATCAGAATTCTCTTAAAGAACATACCTGGTTTTTGGCTGCAACTCCAATTGTTCTGTTTTTTGATCCAAATGATATGACTGATCTAAAAAAAATACAAACCAAAATGTTCATTAAAAAAAAAAATTATGTAACTGACAAAATGAAAGTTCTTGATGAAGATTTGATGGCAGATACAATTACTAGGAATTATACACTTACTCTAAAAATACTTTTGGTATTTAAAGGGTATTAGTAAACTTGGCACTACACACAAATAACAAAAAAATAACAGTATAATTCTACCTCTCAGTTACCAACTCTGTACAAATTGAAATGTCACTGTCACACCTACATATTTCTGTCCTGATATACCATCTGCCTTTTTAGGATTCAAAAGTTTTTGGGTAAACCCAAGCAAATGGACCTAAATTATGCCTCTGGAGTTTAAAGAGCACAGAAGAGGTTACCATCTGGAAGATTCTACTTGAGAAGATTAAGTAGAAATGATGCAGAACAAGTCACAGCAGAAAGGAATATAAATGCTGAAGGAAACAGTGAATAATCAGTTACATTAAATTTGCTTTAATGAGATGAAAAGTGACTTGTAACTGTGAGACAGCTTTCTCTGCAATGGAGATAGAATGCATAGTAACAGCGTAGAGACAAGATCAAGAGAAGTCTTTTGAGGAGGAGGTGGTGATTAAGATTTGGATTAGAGTAATGTAATTGTGCATTACTAATCCAAATCTAATCTAATTTTGCTTTAATTACTCCTACATAGGTACATGAGATGAGTAAAATGAGAATATACTGAGGACATTTAAATTTGCTGTAACAGAAACATTCTGGACCTGATGATCTAAGCAGGTGCTAGCTAAATGCATCCTAAAAAGCAGGGAAGAAATTCAAGCAGAGACTAGACCTGTATGGTACAGTCTAAAAACGTTAGCACTCTAAACTCAGTAACTACCCATTTTCCAAAGAGACAAATTAATTGCAGGAATTAGCTAATGCAATTGTCAACCATCCCGCTTAACACACACATTAAGGAAAACGCCCGATCCCACCCTCAGCTTACGTTTTTCAGAGCCATTATCTGTATTCTGTTACACACAGCGGTCACCACAGTCACGTAATACAATTGTTTCCTACTCTCCTTTGAGCAGCTTCTTTCTTTTGTTGGATCAAAGAGAACAAGGATGTAACCTGCACCTAGGGACAAACACCTGAAATACTAGCTTTTTATTTTTTTAACTAAATTCTAATGCCTAAGTCCAGACCCAATGGGGATCTGCAGAGATGTAGATTAATAGGTTGCTCGGGGAACAGCAGCTTTTAGCAGTCAATGTTTGCTTTTTTCCTGAGTCTATTCACTTTCACAAACGTTCATCTGCACGAACTAACTGTATACGACCAATCATTTTATCTTTGGCTTTGATCTTTTATTTTACATTTATCGTCTTGGGCTTAACACGTTTGAAGAAAAAAAAAA